TTATTAAAAAATTGTATTACACATAAAAATTGTATGTTTATGTATCTATGAATTGGAGATATTTGCTTGCAGGTTAAAAAAAGAATGTTATAAGGTTATTCTAGGTTGTTATTAAAGATACGTGCTAGGTTTGTTATTAAAGATGTCTGCTAAAGATGTCACTTTTTCTAAATTCTTTTTTTTTGTGTGAGGCCACTTTTTAATTTAATTTAATTTTAATTTTGAGACAGGGTCTTGCTCTGTCACCAAGGCTTGAGTGCAGTGGTGTGATCGTGGCTCACTGCAGCCTTGACTTCCTGGGGTCAGGCAATCCTTCCACCTCAGCCTCTTGAGTAGCTGGGACTACAGGCAAGTGCCACCATGTCCAGCTAGTTAAATTTTTTTTTCTTTCTTTTTCTTTTCTTTTTTTAATTTTAGAGATGAGGCCACTGTATGTTGCTTAGCCTGGTCCTGAGCTTCTGGGCTCATGCAGTTCTCCCACCTCTGCCTCCCAAAGTGCTGGGATTACAAATGTGAGCTACACGCCTGGCCAAGGTCATGCTTTCATAAGTAAACCGTGTTTCTCAAGTTATACCAATCAAGTAGTCAAAATGAATTAATAAGAACAATTTTAAAAAAGAAAGATTTCTTGGCTCTGCCATCATCACTTTGCATGAATGCTTGTCTCCGCCTTGATATTCCTGCTACAAATATCTCATCCCCTGTAGCTTTTGTTATTCACCTCCTCCTTCACCTTGGTGTGCCATCTTCATCTTATGTATGAAACACCTAGGTAAAGCTCAGGGAAGTTGCCTTCACTATTGCTGCTGGGAAATGTCTACACTGACACGGCCCTGCCATATTGATATGGGTGGTACTAATATTAATATTGGTGCCAGTGGTCTCTTGTCACTGCCAATACTGCTGGTATGGTATCCGCTGACTATACAAAATATTGTCCAAGTGCTGCTTATATATAGCACCTTTTTCCTCTTCTTATTTTTCATCCTAAATAGATCTATTTAGTTTTATTACCACCAGGCCTCAAAATATGCCCAGTCTTGCCCATATATAGGCTGTTTAAAATTGAGCTTGGATCTTGCAAAGATTTTAGGACCATTGTATTGCCATTCTTTGCAAAAGTCAGAGAGGGAGAGGGACCCCTAGTACTGTGTTTATCTGAGATAATGTAATCTAGTTTGAGCTTGTTTCATGGAGCTGAAGGTAAATATCTCTTCAGCAGCCATTCCTCGAATAACCTATTCTCTATAATTTTTTTTTTCTTTGGCCAGTCAGATACATACACAGATCTGTGCTATATTGCTCTCTAGTCTCCCATCAATTGTATTCTATACATATGAACAAGCTCCATTTAGGCAACGTTTATTTCTAGAGGTAATTTGTTCCCTTTGGAATGTGTATATGAAAACTTGCAAATGCTTTAAACGCTTTCTTCCATTCATCCTTTTTTCCTTCCTCCCTCTCTTCCTTCCCTTTCCTTTCTCCCTTCCCTTCCTCCCCTCCCCTCCCTTCCTCTCCCCTCCCCTCCCTACCTCTCCCCTCCCCTCCTCTCCCTTCCCCTCCCCTTCTTCTCTTTCAACAATTTTCCATGGGTCTCATGTTTTTGTATGTCTTGTGAGGAAAGGCATTGGGCCATCTTTGTTCTGGACTGTTTTTTCAAGGATGTTTGTTAGCAAACAGCCTTGGAAGATGGAGGTCGTGTTTTCCTCTGGAGAAAAAAAGCAAGGTTATTTACTGCCCAGTGTGATAAAGAGAATGACTTTCTTTGGGGCGAAAAGTTCAAGGAGGCTTACTGCCCATCACAAAAGATTTGGGTTTCCCAAGCTCAATGATCCTCAGCTGCGAGGCAAACCTCCTGCATGAGCAGCGTCCACTTGGACCCCTCTGGGTTGCCTGGAAGAGGTAGAGGCAAGGGGAACTGGCACGAAACATGATCTTGAGGCTACTTGCTGCGCTTTGGTCTTTGACCCAGGTGCCTTCTGTCTACTGCCAGCATCCGTAGAACTGTGGCAGGCTAATTTATTAGCTTACAAGGAAGAGGAGATCTCAAATCCTTACAGTTTCTGATTCTGCCTTTGAGAAAGATTTATAAGCTTCCCTGCATTAAGATTCCCTTTGAAGAATACCAAGTCAATACGAAAGATTTTATAAATAATAACGCATAAGCATAGATTCATTAGTGTAGGCTGTTTAATTGTTGACTGATTTCTGATAGAAAAGACTGTGATAAGATATTCACAGATCATATTTTCTGAGAGTTTCAGTTTTGACAGGTTAATCTTTTATAATATTAGGTTGTTGAAATTCTGATTTTCCTATTAATCTCCTATTAATATTAAACTGCATTGGGACCTTGTCTTCCTAAAATACATATATAACTCCTAAAGTTACACACAGTATTTCACATATTTGAAGTCACCCATGATAGTCTATTTTATCTCCCTGAGTCTTCTCTATGAGCTAAAATTTTTTCAGTTGCTTTAAGTGGTGTGGTTTTGAGTCTGATCACCATCCTATACTTTCCTCTTAAAAAGTTTTACTATACAATGTAGCATCTCATTTTTTTCCTTCTTTTCTTTCCTCCTTCCTTCTTTCCTTTCTCTTTCTCTCCCTCTCTCTTTCTCCTTCCTTCCTTCCCTCCCTCCCTCCTTCTCTCTCTCTCTCTTTCTCCCTTTCTCTCTTTCTCTCTCTCTCCTTCCTTCCTTCCTTCCTTCCTTCCTTCCTTCCTTCCTTCCTTCCTTCCTTCCTTCCTTCCTTCCTTCCTTCCTTCCTTCTCTCTCTTTCTTTCTATCTTTCCTCTTCTTTCCTTCTTGACAGTATCTCACTCTGTCACCAGGCTGGAGTGCAGTGGCATGATCATAGCTCACTGGACCCAAGAACTCTTGGGCTCAAGTAATCCTCTTGTCCCAGCCTCCCAAGTAGCTACAGGTGCATGCCACAATGCCCAGCTAATTTTTATTTATTATTATTATTTTTTGTGGAGATGGGGGTCTTGCTTTGTTGCCCAGGCTGGTCTCGAGCTCCTGGGCTCAAATGATCCTCTTACCTCGGCGTCCCAAAATGCTGGGATTACAGGCATGAGCCACTGTGGCCAGTCCTATATTTCTATTCACTAGCAATGTATGGTTGTAAATGGGAAAAATATTAATAACTATACAATTTACAGTAGTTCCTTTGCCCCCCAAAAAAGAAAGAATTTAAGTATAAATCTAACTTAAAAGTATCTAGGATATGTATTCTGAAAACTAAAGAATCACTACCTGCCTGGGCGACATGGCAAAACCCTATCTCTACCAAAAATACAAAAATTAGCCAGGCATAATGGTGCATGCCTACAGGCCCAGCTATTCGGGAGGCTGAAGTAGGGGGATGGTTTGAGTCTGGGAGGCTAGGGTTGCAGTGAACCGTGATCGTGCCATTGCACTCCAGCTTCAGTGACACAGCCAGACCTTATCTCAAAGAAAAAATAAAAATAAAAAGCACTAAAGAACAAAATAAAAATAAAAGACCTAAATAAATAAATGAAGAGTGATAACTGTGTTCATGGATTGAAAGACTTAATATAATTAACATATCAATCACTTTCTAATTGATATATAGATTTAAACAAATTCAAATAAAAATCCAAGCAGGATATTTTGTAGAAATAGACAAGCTGATTTTAAAGTTACCTAAAAAGACAAAGGAACTAAAATAGCCAAAACAATTTTGAAGAAAAAAAAAAGAATAAATTTTGAGAAAGTACACTATTTGATTTTAAGAATTCTGATAAAGTCACAGTAATCAAGGCAGTGTGGTATTTGTGAAATCATGGGCTCACAGATCAATGACAAGGACTAGAGCCCAAAAACAGATGCATAACTAGATAGTTAAGTGACTTTGACAAAGGTGCAAAAGCAATTCAATGAAGAGTATTTTTTTCAAAAAATGATGTTGGAATAATTGCACAGCCATATCAAAAAAGTCCTAATTTTTATACCTATACAAATGTTAACTTGAAGTAGATTGTAGATATAAAATTATAAAGGTTTTAGTAGTAAATATAGAAGAAAATCTAGTTGATCTTGAGTTTGGCAAAGAGTTTTTGGCAAAAGAGTTTTTGATATGATACCCAAAGCATAATCTTCAAAAAACATTGATAAATTGGGCTTCATACAAATTAAAAACATGTGCTCTGCAAAAGACACCATTAGGAGAATGATAAGACAAGCTACAGATTGGGAAAAACAATTCACAAATCATAGATATAATAAAACAATGTATCCAAAATATATTTTTAAAAACTCTCAAAATTCAATGATAAGAAAAGAAATGCCAATTAAAAATGGGCAAATAATTTGAACAGTCATTGGATAAGACATACAAATGGCAAATAAGTTTGTGAAAGATGTTGAACATCATTAGCCATTAGGGAAATGCAAACTAAAACTACAATTAATTAAACCAACCAAAACCATCCCAAGCAATACCAAGTGCAAATCAGTGGAGTAACCGGAACTCTCATATATTACTGTTGGAAATGCAAAATGCAAGATGGAAAATAGTTTGCCAGTTTTTTATAAATTTAAACATACATTTACAATATGACCCAGAAATTTTATTCCTATGTATTTATCCCAGAGAAATGAAAACTTATGTTCACACACAAAACTGTACAAAGAAGTTTATAGCAGTTTTATTCATAATTGCCACATACCTGACAGAACCCAAATGTCTTTCAGTGGGTGAATGTATAAACTGTGGTCTATCCATATAATAGAATACAACTTAACAATATAAAGGAATGAACTATTGATGCACACACGAATGAATCTCAGAAGCATTATGCTGAGTGAAAGAAGCCAATCTCAGATTGTTACACTGTATAATGCAATGAAAATGACATTCTGGACAAGGCAAAAATATCAGAACAGAGAATAGACCAGTGGTTGTCAGGGTCTAGGAATCTGGGAAGTGCTTGACCACAAGGGGCAGCATGAGGGAATTCTTTTGGGGTAAAGGCATTGTTCAGTATCTTGATTGTGAAGATGGTGACATGAATCTATACTGGTCTTAAAACTCAGATCTGTACTCCAAAAATACCTTACCAAATCAACACCCATAATCCCCCAATGACCACCCTCTATATACGTTTGCATAACATATACATATGCATGTATATAAATGTATACATACATACATATCTTGATTATGCCGGTGAGTTATATTTAGATGATGCATTTGTCAAAAATCAACCCTTAAAATGAGTGTGTTTAACTGTATGTAAATTGTATATTAATATAATTTTTAAAAATTTTCAATAAAAAATTGATTGAAAATGTGGTCCCAGAACAGAAGAGAACTTGCTGCTTTGGTACTAATAGCATTAGTTAGAACTGGACTGTTCTCTACTTTGCTATATGCTCTATGGAATTTCATGAATTTGATTAATAAATTATGCAAAAATATTTATTGAGCAACCACAATGTGCAAAGTCCTGTGCTTTGAGTGCTATCAGAGCTAGAGATGGTTTCCGCTTTTTGAAATATATTCACATAACCATAAGGGAAATAGTCTGTGTATGTCCTATGGAAATAAAATATACAATGCAAATCAGGGGTACTGTGCTTATTTGCTTTACTTATGAGGTTAAAAAAATCTGAATATCAGCAACAATTACCAGCAAGTGCAAACTACTTTTTAAGAAACAAATTGTACTAATTCAACTAAACAAAACTAAGTGTCATTTAAAGAGTTCGAAGTGAAAGCAAGTGACAGAAATTGTAAACTCGTTTTTTCTGGTGGTGATAGCCTCCCCAGGAGAGCATGCCTCTTGGGAAACATTTCCTTCATTGTTCTCTAGAAATGGAGGGGAGGCAATACAAGAGGCAGTGCCTGGTGCAGAGCCTCAATTCCTACTTCGTGGATGTGAAATGCCCAGGATGCTATAAGATCAGCACGATTGTTAGCCATACACAGATGGTAGTTTTGTGGGTGGTCTGCTCCACTGTCCTCTGTCAGCATACAGGAAGAAAAGCAAGGCTTACAGAAGAATGTTCCTTCAGATGGAAGCAGCACTAAAAGCACCGTGAATCAGGATAAATAGGAAACCATCCCAATAAACACATTTTGGATATAAAACCTAATAAAGAAAATGTAAGCTTGTAAGATTACTTGGTATGTAAGAGCTTTTGAAACCATGAATCTCTTTCAGGGGAAAAAAATTGGATTCTGTTAATGTGGACACTTTGACTACCTTCAATAAACATTTTTTCACATTAATTGTAGATAACTGTTAGGTGAGGTCACTGTTGTTGAAACTGTGGTGTTGAGTCCAGAAATAAGAGCTGACTCTTATACCCAAAACACATGTTACGTATGTTTTACTAAAAATATGTTTTGTGCAATTGCTGGTGTACTGGAAAATAGATGCAGTGAACTGGAGCAAAGGGAACTTGCTGTAAACTTAAGAGGAAGAGTGATGATGTATCAGAATTCATCACAGGAAAAATATGATGGGCAAAATCTCGTGTAGGATTTGTTCTGCTTATGTTGCCTTCTTAGGAAGACATTTTGATAACCATCTGTTTTGCATTAGGATGTGTATTAATCTTGAGATGTTCAACCTCTTCTTTAAAACTAAAATTTCACTTTGTTTCTTGAGGAACGGATTTTAAACTTGTGAATTTTCCTTTTGTTAGCAGCAAAATGATTTGAAAGAGAAACAAAATTTGGTAATTTTTCTAGGAAGAATTGAAAAATACTTCATAGAAATTTTAATACAAATTTAAATTCTCCTTACTATTCTGTGAATAAATGGTTCTAAGGAGTTGATTTCTGGGTTTCTGAGCCATTTTACTTTATAATAAATATAAATTATGTGAGATACAGACTCTTCAGCTGGAGGTCAACCTGATGAAACAGCCAACTTTACAAGAGAAAAGACTAGGATGAGAGTTCCTTAGGTGACTTGTTTAAAGTCACACAGGTAGTTTGTAGCAGAACTCATACCAAAATTTAGAAGTCTGTTTGTCCAATCTGTTTCCCTCAACTATGTTACATTGACTTTCTCTATATTTATACACACATAGATACAAAAACTCACATGTAATTCAATTGTCACACAAAACCAAACATTCATAATGTCTTGTCCAGAATATTGACCTTGTAATTGTAATTTTTATATAATCAAATGAATTTCTACATTTTTTGATAAAGGATACTGGATAGGAGGGTGTAAATACATTTATTGTTATGCAATCATTCTAACATTTAACAAACAAATTTTATCCTTCATGGATTTTAAGTGGACACTTGCAGATAGAGATTTTTTTTCCCCCCTGGTCCACTGAATGCTGTAAGAACTAGGTGCTCCAGCTGGAAAGCCTTGGTTTCAGACATGTCAGATTGTGGTAGGCAGAATTAAAGCCCCCAATGAAAGCCCCTAATCCCTGGGAGCATGAATATATTATGTTACATGGCAAGGGGAACTTTGCAGATATACATAGAGTTACTAAATTATTTAATCTTAAAATAGGAGATACCTGGATTTTCTGGGTAGACCCAATGTAATCACATGAACCCTAAAACCAGAAGAATAAGGCAGAAGAGGAAGGCAGGAAGTTACAGAGATGCAACCGAAGACATGGGATTGATTTGAAATTTAAGAAGGAATTGAAGCACTGTTGCTGGCTTTGAAGGAGCAGAGCATAACCCCAAGGACAGCTGGCAACTTCCAGAAGCTGAAAATGAGCCCTGGCCCACAGCCAGCAAGACAACAGGACCCACTATACTGGCAACCTGAATGAGCATGGAAGCAGGTTCTTCCCCTTGATGACCTCTGACCAGAGGACCCAGCTGAGCATCTCCTGGAATTCTGACCTGTAGAACTATGAGATAAAGCATGGGTGGTGTTGTAAGCTACTACATTTATGGTAATTTCTTAAATCAGCAATACAAAAGGAATATACTGTTCATGTGTGGAGGATGGAAGGATGGACCACCAGGGGTGTCATGACTAAGATGCTTCCTGGGAATGCACTGGGCTTAAGAGAAAAGAGAGTTGGGGTACTTAGGGTTTTCCTTACAGTGTGGCAGTATCAGAAACAGAGACAACTTTGAGTGTCTAGTTTTGTGTATCTACTTAAATTATGTGTAATGTTAGTGCCTTTCACTCATGCTGAAGCCTTCATCTTCAATAGAGAGGGAATCTAAAAATCCTGGGCTGTTACACAAAAATTTACATAAGACTTTTTGAAACCATCAGATGCTGTTTTTGTTTTTGTTTATAGTGCATGTAGCAGAGCTTATAAAAAACTAAGTTAGGGTCACTTTCCTCAGAGGTAGGTTTCTACTGAAGCATATTGGAACCCAGATATTCAAAACGGCTTAGACAGTAAAACAGCCACTTCGGAGAAGACATGGTAGAAGAACCTAAGTTTTAGAGGAACATGTTTCTAAAGCAACCTCAGTAGCTTTAGAATTGCAGTGTTTTTATGTTGCTGACTTCTACTTGAATTGTATAATTTACTCAGATAGTTTAAACTACTTACCTAAGACCACTGAACAAAGTAGAATCAAAACCTGTATCTCTAGGTTTAAAACATATGACCTGATTGTAGGTTGTGGTCTATTCCCTAGTCTAATAAAAGGGTGTTGAAATTCAGCATTACTTACAAGTGGTGCATCTTGAAACACATATTTGGTCTAAACTGGCTCTTTTGAATTTTTAAAAAAATTTAATTTAAAAAATTGAGGCAGGGTCTTGCCATATTGCCTAGTTTGGTCTTGAACTCCTGGGCTCAAGTCATTCTCCTGACTTGGCCTCCAAAAACATGAAGATTACAGATGAGAGCCACCATGCCTGGCCTAAACTGGGCTCTTTTGATTCAAAATATTGTATTCCCCAAGGGTGATGTAAGTTAGCTTAAAATTATTTATATGTTGAACTTGGGGCTGCAGAAATTTCTTTTACCAGAAGTAAGAGGCATTAAATAGACTTTGAAAAGGCCTACAAAGTCCTGAGAAAAAGATCTCCAAGTTAAATTGTGCCCTCTTTGGAAATCTGGAAATGATTGATGAAGTTTTCTTGGCTAGATTGTGATCATATGTATGTAAACTTGCCTAATCCGTGTTTTACTGTTGCAGATTACTTTTGCCAAAAATTGCAAAATAAAAAGTGTTGATATTAGAGCTATGACTGCATATAAACTAAGGAACTTTCTAAAAGGTAGTTTCAAATGGAAGATTTGGGATTACAAGAATGATTCTAGAGGGCAGGGAGTGAGGTGGAAATGGCATAAGAAAAGTGAGAAGTTGAGGAAAGCATGGAATATTTGGAAAGTAGGGAAGCACCCTGACTGGATTGCAGAGTTTATGATGGGAGAAATGAAAGATTATACTGGGGTTGACCTAGATTGTTAGTTAAGATTCACCGTGTCTTATGGATCCAGCAATGTCTTCAGAACAATAGCAATCTCACTTACAGGAGAGCTTCCTTGAGGCCACATAAAGGCTGTTCTAAAATCTAGACTGCCACCAACACCTCTGCTGCCACTTTTGCCTCTGGCACCCAGGAAACCAAAGAATCAATACTCAAAACTGCTCACAAGGAACCAGCTGAAACATAGTCATTTGCAAGGTGATATTTGCTCGCAAAGACTACTGTAAGAACTGACTGGAAGATGACCTGTGATTGGTTCCTGCTCTTTAAATCTTACCCATTAGGCATAGGTTACATGCAGAGTGTTAGCTGAAAAGAGCAAGTATAACATTTTTAGCTTTTAAATTTCTCCAACTACAGGCCAAGTTGATAAGACTTTGTGAGTCAGTCCACAGTTTCCATCACATTTGGGTAGGTCATGAAAGCCTGGGACCATAAAACTAAGAAATTAAACATAATCTTGGAAAGAAAAACAGCTCATATATATTAAGTGCTTACTATATTCCAGCAACAGTTCAAACCACTTTTATATATAGTGACTTGTTCAATTTTCTCAATAATTCTATAAGAAATTATCCCCAAGT